GGCTCAGCGGTTGAGCGTGGACCAGGGATCCCGGCGATTGGGGTTCGATTCCTAGTCAGGGTACATGCCCGGGTTGCGGGCTCGATCAGTGACTCTCTCATCATTGATGTTTCTATCTCTCTCTCCTTCTCCTGTCCTCTCTCTGAAATCAATAAAGATATATTTAAAAAAAAAAAAGATGGGAAATCTGAGGCCCAGGTTTATCAGGTAACACATGGAGAGTAGCAGGGCCAGAATTTAAATCCAGATCTGTCTGACTTAGAAAACCATCTAACATGAGTTTAGGGGAAAGCAGCTTCTTTATTTATATCAAACAAAATCTTTATGATGTAAGAGGATGAATAGTGTAAAGAAACATCTCCAAGTTTCCTATGATGGGGGAGGGGGCTACTTCTCTTATCTTCCCTCCTCCTGGCTCAGAGGTGGCAGGAGGTGGGAGTCACTGTTCATGACTTAAGCTGACCATGTTCTAACATAGAACAATTTTTCAGATTTACAGTGTCTATGTTTGACTACTATACAAATGTTCCATACCGCTTACCTAGAATATTAACAACAGTGCCATGGAGAGAACAATAGTGAATCTGATACACCAACAGAAATAGGCTGCTTGTTTGATTCTAAAGGATGAGCCCCTGAAGAAAGCCTTGCATCGTTTCTCTCCTACTTGAAGGCGTGTCACATCTGGCCTGCCCTGGATTGCCTTTGCTCGGGGTGTGACTAAGTGATTTTTCATCCCATGACTTACACTCAGAGACTCATACTCTAAAGATGCCACTGGGAGTGATATTTGTTAGGTGTGACTTCTGTGGAGAATGTCCTAAAAGTCCACTGCTAAGAGTGGCTGAGTCTTCCCAGCAGTTGGCCTCTTTATCCAGCGTCTGTTGCAAATCATGTAACTCACCAGTTGACCTTTTCCTGTTGGCTCTAGAATATTTAGAGCCAATTTGTGACCCACTTAAGGTTTTTATTCCATGAGTATTTTAACCTTGTTCCTAACTTTGTTTTATATACCCACCCTCCTTTTTCTTTGTTCTTCTCTTCTTATTTTAAATTAATTCTATCTTAAGCTTCATACACCCTCGTGAGCTATCTTAAGTGGTTTCTGGAATAAGAGGGAGGTGTAAACAAACAAGCAAACACATACAATGTCTACAGCTGTTTCAACACCAGTAAGAACATTTGGAATAGAGCGACTCAGGTGTCAGAGTTTGAGTTAGAAATTGGAGGAATGGTTACAAATGAATAAGTCAGGTTGACTGTGGCAAATACAACATTCCGTTAATGTTCAATCTGGTACCTATTTCATCCATTCATTTAAACAGTATTGTTTGAGTAACATGCCAGGTATTGAGCAAAGTCTTATGGGGAATTTAAAAATTGTAAAATGTGAACTCTGCTTTCTTTTTTCTGTTTGTTTTATTTTTCCCCTTCACCATTTATATTCCCTATACCCTTTTCTAGCTCCACCCAGCCCCCCACCCCACATATATATATATGTATATATTTTTAATATATCTTTATTGATTTCAGAGAGAGGAAAGGAGAGGGAGAGAGAGAGATAGAAACATCAATGATGAGACAGTCATTGATCAAGCCGGCAACCCGGGCATGTGCCTTGACAGGGAATCGAACCCCGATCGCCTGGATCCTAGGTCGAAGCTCAACCGCTGAGCCACACCCGGCCGGGCTCCCACATATTTGTTAGGGGCCATAGATATCCTATAATTTGAACTATGACACAATAGCTTCTTTTATTTATACTCAGAAATAGACTTGTAAAAGGCCAGCAATATTCTAATTCCAAAACCAGATAAAGACACGACAAAGAAAATTATAGGTCAATATCCCTGATGAACATAGATGCTAAAATCCTTAACAAAATATTAGCAAACCGGATCCAGCGATATATTAAAAAGATCATACATCATGATCAGGTGAGATTTATTCTGGGGATGCAAGATTGGTACAATGTCTGCAAATCAATAAACATGATACACCACATAAACAAAATGAAGTATTAAAAACCACATGATCATATCAATAGATGCAGATAAAGCATTCGATAGCACCCATTTATGATAAAAACTCTCAGCAAAGTGGAAATAGAGGGAACATGCCTCAACATAATAAAGGCCATATATGACAAACTCACAGCCAACATCATACTCAAAGGGCAAAATCTAAAAGTGTCTCCCTTAAGATCCGGAACAAGACAGGGACGCCCACTTTCATCACTCTTATTCAACATAGTACTGGAAGTCCTAGCTACAGCGATCAGATAGGAAGAAAACACAAAAGGCATCCAAAGAAGAAAGGAGGAAGTAAAACTGTCAGTATTTGCAGATGACATGATATTGTACATAGAAAACCCTAAAGACTCCACCAAAAAGCTACTAGATTTGATAAATGAATTTGGCAACATAGTAGGATACAAAATTAATATCCAGAAACCAGTGGCATTTCTATAACCAACAATGAACTATCAGAAAGAGAAGCTAAGAAAACAATCCCATTTACTATTGCAAAAAAGAAAATAAGGTACCTAGGAATAAATTTAATCAAGGAGGTACAATGTCCACAAATCAATAAACATGATATACCACATAAACAAAATGAAATACCTCTACTGGGAAAATTATAGCATATTGAAGAAAAAATAGAGGAAGATACAAATAAGTGGAAGCAAATACTGTGTTCATGAATTAGAAGAATTAACATCATTAAAATGTCTATACTACCCAAAGTGATCTATAGATTCAAAGCCATTTGTATTAAAATACCAATGGCATATTTCACAGATCTAGAACAAAAATTCCAAAAATGTATATGGAACCAAACAGAGACCCCCAAATAGCTGCAGCAATCTTGAAAAAGAAGAACAAAGCTGGAGGGATCGCAGTACGGGATATCAAAATATACTACAAAGCCAATCTAATCAAAACAGCCTGGTACTGGCATAATAACTGGCATACAGATCAATGGAACAGAACAGAGAGCCTAGAAATCAGCCTCCACCTTTCTGGTCAATTAATATTTGACAAGGGAGGCAAAAGCATACAATAGAGTATGGACAGTCTCTTAAATAAATGATGTTGAGAAAATTACACAGATACATGCAAAAAAATGAAACTAGACCACCAACTTACACCATACACAGGAATAAACTCAAGATGGATAAAAGACTTAAATGTAAGTCGTGAAACCATAAAAAACCCTGGAAGAAAACATAGACAGTAAAATCTCAGACATGTCTAGGAGCAATATTTTTCCCCATATATCTCTTAAGATAAGGGAAATAAAGGAAAAAATAAACAAATGGGACTACATCAAACTAAAAAGCTTTTGCACAGCAAAAGAAACCATCAACAAAATGAAAAGGGAGAAGATATTCCCCAATGATGCATATTCCTCAATGATAAGGGGTTAATTTGCAAAATATATAACAAAGTTATACAACTCAACAAAAGGAATACAAACAATCCAATTAAAAATTGGGCAAAGGACCCAAGTAGACACTTCTCCAAAGAGGACATTCTGATGGCCAATAGACATATGAAAAAATGTTCAACTTCACTAATCATCAGAGAGATGCAAATTAAAACCACAGTGAGGTATCACCTCACACCTGTCTGAATGGCTCCATCAACAAATCAACAAATGACAGGGGCTGGCGAGGGTGTGGGGAAAGGGGAGCCCTAGTGCACTGCTGGTGGGATGCAGACTGGTGCAGCCACTATGGAAAACAGTATGGAGTTTCTTCAAAATATT